ACAAAGTACATAGCTGCAGGAGGGAGTGTTCCCGTTTCTGATTTTTGTTCTTTTTTCTTCTTGTCCTCTTTTTGTTCCACGTGCAGGTTTCCTCAGTTTTTTTTTGGCCGTTTCTGGATCCTGTAGATTCGTTTGGTTTGAGGCATGGCATCCTTAAAGTGTCCCTCCACTATTCACCAAAGCAAAATGAGAATGAATCTTCTGCTAGAAAGTGGAAGTGTGCACCGCCATATTTTTTGTCTTTTGTGCATGTGGTGAGTAGTGGAGCGACACCCTTATGGTCCCTCAATTTAGCCATGATAGGGCCTTGCTCCTCTCACCAAATGTGCAAAATGAGAACGGATCTTCTTCTAGAACGCAAAGAGGTGGAATCGACAGTCATGGATTTCTTCTTACTTAGGAAAGTAAGAGTACTAGGCTCATGGCCTAAGCTAATTTTCAGACCAGATACGGCAGTACATAATCTGGAATTCGACCCGGCAGAGTGAGCCTGGACACCGGACAAGGATAGGAATATCAAGTCTCATGTCCCCATAGAGAACTATACAGTTAAATTCGGCTACAAACTCTTGGTTAAAACAACAGACCCAGATCCTATAATCAAGGGCAGATGGCAGAAACTAATAGGCCAGGAAGCTGACAAAATTACACAGATTCTGTGGAAGAAATTTAACACTATCAGGCCGATTAAAGTCAGAAGCCTTCAGTGGCTTATCACATATGCTGCGCTGCCAGTGAATCAATGGCTTCACACACGACGTCACAAAAACGATCCCACCAGTTCGGACCTATGCACAGTTTGTACAGAAGGGGCGCAAGAAGACGTGGTACACTGCCTAATTCAATGTAACGAGGCAACGGATTACTGGGCACGAGCCTCAGCCCTCTGGGACTCCCTTTTCCATGCCCCCTTCCCCGAACATCCCATCCAAATCCTTCTCTGGACTAACATTCCTGACCAGCTCAAGAAGACGGAAAGGTTATGGTTCGGCCTGATCAGGAAGGTGACGTTATGGATCATTTGGAAAGAGAGATGCTGCAGAACCATCGAAGGGCTTCCCAACCCAAGAGAGAAGGTATGGGCGGGAGACGAGAACCATGCTACAGGCTGAAATTCTTTGCAGATGGCAAAAGTTAAAGCAGTCCGATGCCTGAAGATAAGGATCTGCGAGAAAAGGCTAGGAAAAAGTTCACCAGGCTGTGGTTAGTGGACGGTAAGGTGGCTGAGCTACGAAACGACCGAGTGTACTGGAAAGACTGGCACAATTCAGAGACAGGCAGGAGAGCCCAGACTGTGCCTGCACCAGATAGGCAGCTGAGTTGAAGGGAGTAAGGGATACCAGGCTTCAGGAACGAGAGCCAAGAGGAGAGGCAAGAAGAATTAAGATTGGTGTTGGGAGGAAGTGACCTAGGCCTGTCACAGACGCTGCAAAGACTGATCCAGGTCGGACAAGGGAGAGGGCATCAAGAGCTGATGCACTAGCTGACTCAGGACAGAGCAGATAGCCCCCTACATCAACGATGGACGGAATAGGAAGGGAGAACACAAAAAGTACTCTTGGTTCACAGTCATCAGGTTGTCTCTAGAGGAGGTACAATAGAGAAGGGGTACAGCGATGAGGAATAAGGGAGGGTTTACGGTTTAAGGGTCTTAATCACCGGCTAATGGCTCAGGGGTTTAGGGTCTAAGGGTTTGGTCAGTCGGAACAGCTTATGACAGCGGTCCTAGGCAGATCGTAACTGCTCAAGGTGACAAGGTTAGGGCTGGGCTGAATCAGCGGAAACAGGGTGGAGGGTGATTGGTAGACAATAAGGGGTTTTAAGAAAAAGGGAAATGATACATATGCTATTATGCATGGTCAGAAAATGTGGGGGTTCAGGGCATGTTGAGGGGTAGGAAGGTTGTTGAAGGGGCAAGATCCTTTCTTGGTTTTCGGGACCTATATGGCAGGTTTTGTGCAGCAGACCTGAGAGGAAAGGGTATAGCACGGCAAGCTGACAGTCAATCCTCCATGCGGATGGAGTAATCAACGCTGGTCAGGGGTCCTTCGGCCGTACGGAAGGAAGCGTGTGTCTGTAATTATGATGTATTATTCTTTTGACTTGCCGGTGGAATAGGAACCGGACTGA